AAGATTATGAGTTGACGAAAACAGACGGGATGCAGTATTCCTGGAAATTGCGCGTGAAATGGAATAAGGCCCCTCTTTAAATTGGGCATTCTTTAAGCCGGTTTAATTACCCAAGTTTATTAGTCCTGTGGTGAGGCCCGAAAGCGACAGCTGCGCCGACGCTGCTTTCCCCCTAGCCAAAGGCTGCATTGACGAAATCTGAGTGGTGTTTTGAGCCCTAGCTGGTCTCACTTGTTCCACGCGTACGTTAGGGCACCAGGGCACAGCATTCGATGGGGATTTTGGTCGAGCTTTTACGACCCCCCCCCCCATGGGGAATCCCCAACCAATGCTGTGCCCTGGTGCCCTAACGTACGCGTGGAACTGAGCAAGTGAGACCAGCTAGGGCTCAAAACACCACTCAGATTTCGTCAATGCAGCCTTTGGCTAGGCGGAAAGCAGCGTCCGCGCAGCTGTCGCTTTCGGGCCTCACCACAGGACTAATAAACTTGGGTAATTAAACCGGCTTACGGTATGCCCAATTTAAAGAGCCGACTTATTCCATTTCACGCGCAATTTCCAGGAATACTGCATCCCGTCTGTTTTCGTCAACTCATAATCTTGTTTGATTAACAAGCTATACACACGACCACTGTCCCAAACAGACATCGGATAGCGCCTATGCAATACCGTGGTTAACAAGTCGTTACTCAGCAGGTTTCGCCTAACAGAAAGATGAAGGGCGAATATTCTCTGTTCCCTCATACCCTCTCAACCCTCTCAAAACAAGAGCAGCTGGGGCTGATCGATTTCCCCTTCTGCGGCTGCGTTTACGTGTATAGCAATTGTAGCGCATCAACGCGCATTACAGCGCGTCAGAGCACGTCGACGCGAAGTCTGAACGCTGCCTAAACAGAAAGTATGCAGTAATCAGCATTTTTCCTTTACACTGTGCATTTAACTCCAAAGAACTTGCTCTTGTTGACAGTGACTGCGCACAACTTTTGCGACTAAACTCACTCTGAGCTTCCCCTCATTCTTATGAGATTCCACCATACGAACAGCTAACATCGGAGCGCACGTTCTTCGAGGTTGCTCAGCAGACGAATACTGAACGAAGGTGATACTACCACAAGAGCTTAACAAGTTAGAATACTTCCTATCTTACCTGATACATCATCTCTTTGATCTGGCTAGCTGTTAACCTATCAAACAGCGTTATATCATGGATCGTGAAAAGTTTCATTGACATTAGCGGAGCATCCTTGTTGAACTGTTGGAATATACAGGTAATCTGAAGAAAAGAGTTCAATCAAAAAAAAGCAATACAGGACTGTATCGGAAACCAAATTTTAACTTCAGAAGAACAGGCAGTGTGCAGTATCCAAACTGCGCGTAAAACTGAGCGCGCAGGAGCAGCGATTGTACCCAACACCACCTAGTCTCGCCCAGGCAGGCGCTGGCCAGGTGAAAAGAGAAGAACGATTAGCCTCGCTCTCGCTTCCTGGCCTCGCCCGCATCTCTCACCGCGATTCTCGGGGGGGGGGGGAAGTACTGTATGCCGCCTGCTTTCGGGGGGGGGGGGGGATAATGTATGCCGCCTGTTTTTCTTAACTTTAATCTTGTGTTTTGTGAGCATACCTTTTTCAACTCGAGAACCACACAAACCGAATGATCGCGATATTTGCCACCACGGGCATCGGGTGAAACCACTTGGTTCTTTCCTTTACCCTCACGATATTCAGGCGTACTGTAGCTACGCTCTTTTGGAGGTTCATCGCCTAAACGACCGAAATAGAATGTAAAAAGTAGCGAAAAAAAACGAAGTTCACTTACTCAAATCCGAACCACCAAAGAGATGTATGCTTACAGATATATCGCGGAGTAAATATCTAAAAGTTACCTATTAAATCCTTGAGAGTAAAGAGAAACCATTTTCAAGTACTTGATTATTTAGTCTCAGATAGTTCTCATCCATCAAATCATAGAAACATACCGGGCAACTGGTGACGGGAAATCCGTTGGCAAGGCAGCTAAACCATCACCACGCCAATCACTTGGGACACGAAAATGGTGCGGATCTATCGTGATGCCAGCATTTGACGTGGTCCGATCGTTTCGAGAACCAATGTATTTAATATTCGGCTCACCAGTGGCATTCTATGATGAATAAACTTTCAAAAACTATACAAAAACAGGGAAATGCACGGTTTGCACAACGAGAACAGCTGCCGTAAAAACTCACAGGTTTCCGTCGCACGCCCCCCCCCCCCTTCCTCACTTCAAAGACACACCGTACAATTCCCACCACAAGACACCCGCAAAGTTTATGTGCAGGGCGGGGGGCGGAGGCGTACTGACACCATAACTGAACCCATCGCGATGTTACACCCTGTGTGCAACACTCAGGCAGCGTTCAGACTTCGCGACGGCAGCGCCTCGGTCGCGCGTTCGGCGCGATCGATGCGCATGCTTTCGACTGCATCGATCGCGTCGAACGCGCGACCGAAGCGCTGCCGTCGCGAAGTCTGATGCCTCAGCGAAGAGGTCGTATTGGAATCTCTATGGAAAAGGGTTGACTGTCGTCATTTTGTAAGAAATAACTAGAAAATTGTAGATTTTGCCAAGGAATGGAGAGAGATTGTTCTCAATTGTAAAGCAGTATTTAGCCCTCTCTGCTCGGAAAACAAGACACCAAAATTGTGGATGTAGTGAAAATAGTTCTCATCTCTAGATTAAAATGAGATAATCTCGACTGACACCGAGTAAATCGAGCTCCTGTTCGGTATGATCCAAATGATTTCTTAAAAAACTGAACTCACAGTGATCCCACTACCGATCACATCCTCATCAACCATACAAAATTCATCGTCCGTTGACAAAGAGTATGCCCGATTTCGTTCAGAATGCGCCGTATCCACTAACGCTTTCGCAAGCAAGTTCTAAAATTGATCCTAGTAATCTAGTAAATGGCAATAAATTCCACCGGACCCTTCTGTAACCCCTGAGTAAACCTGGTTTCCCACTAAAAGTCCCCCGAGCACGAAATCACATTCACCTGGTTGAGCGAGAAATTCGGTGAGAACTCTTCAAGTGCCTCCCTACCACAAGGTATTCCAGCGGACGAGCCATCAGAAGATGAATCTTCCTGCATCGCGGAGGCAAGCATACGCTGAAGTACACAGAAGTTGTTACTTAATTTATCCAAAGAAAAATGTACGCCTTTACCTTCATTTTCATCTCAACTGGTTTCGGAAGATTACCAATTTCCTTGACTGGTAGAAGTCGATGCATGGCTCTGAACAAAGGTTGTAGGCTACTTAAGGACCTCATAAAGAATTTGTAGGAAACATGTTTTCAGCTGGTTACCCAATAGATAATCTACTTTACTAGATTACTTGGAACACCAATCTTTGGATCTCAAGGTCCATCAGGAGCTCAAAAACATTGGCGAGCGACCTGAGGGTGACAGTCTGCTATGTGAAGACACCACTAGGGGACGCTGAGTGGGTGGAGCCAGATCATGTCGCCATTCGTGCCCCCCCCTTCCGCCTCGCTCACTATGTGAGCAGTCGTATAGTGCTTAAACCCAGCAGTTGGAGATTTTTAATACTTATCTAACTTGAATTAAAGGACGGAATGCATAACGTGTATAAACACGTTAATGGTGATGTGATGGACTCGTACGACAGACTCCCGGTAAAGTAGGCGGAAAGAGGAGGGTTGCGCGAGTGACGCGCTGATCTGGCCCCGCCCACCCGGCATTCTTTAAAGTGTCTTTAGGGGCAGAATGAGGGGTAGGCTATTCAATGCCTGCTAACAAGAGACTCGAGGAACGCACTACAGATTGAAGCGCTCGGCAGAAAAGATGCACTTCGAGTTTTTAAGTCTTCCTGATTGCTTGAAGTTGTTCGGGTTGCAGTAACTGATTTCTTCACCATTCAACAAAGTAGTGTTCTTTCACTACTGCAAATCCACTTAAATACCCTTTCAGCATCCGCAAGCTTGAGTGGAACACCTTTTTTGTGTATCCTTCGCACTACACAAGAATTACTTTCAGTAAAAAAAAACAGTACATAGTTAACAAGGCATCAAACATACTTCAGAATTTGCGTTGTCCTCACAGCTATCCACAGACCGTACTGAAGCTTCCTTCGGCTCAGGTGGTGCAAATTTTTCTGATCGAGAAATTTCAGATGCCAAGTTCAGCAATACGACAAAGGAATCGACGCAGACCCATACCTGCAAAATGCATTCTTTTATTCACTTCAGATTCTCATTATCAAACACTTGTTATTGAAAATACCTTGATGATGTCATTTCGGCAGCGAATTTCAAGAACTGGTGCTGTGATGGTAGAATTCTCAGTTACAGGGAAGAAGGAGGACAGAATCTGAAATAAAGGTTTACAATTTGAGTTCCAAGAACCAACTACATACCATGTGGGAGTACGCTGGGCCTCGCTCGATTGCTCCCTTATGTACTTTTCTTAGAAATTTAGCTCCAGCGCAGGCTACACGTCCGAAAAAGATGTTGTGTGCGGCTTGAATACTAATGAGTGGTTAGAAAATAACCCCATAGTGGAGGAGAACCACAAAAACCAGCCCAAAGGCCCATATGGAACTCCATGCTAAATGCGTTTGTACGTGCATAAAGCGAGGAAAAGGCATGGTCGGTCGAGTTCTCACTTGTTGATGCAGGCCTTCTCTCCTTATCACCTCACTATCATCGTTCGAAATGGAGAAAGTCAGTAGCGCAACATTTGCACCATCAACTAGCATTTAAGTATGAAAGTTGGGATCGCCGAGGCCAGTGGGCGGAGTCGTGGTTCCATCTCGAATGGGCGGCGCTTTTCTCACGTATCTTTGTGCTGCAAAAGTAGCGCGTCACCTATGCTTGCAGGCAGGACTACCATGTCCACAGAAGGCGCCTAAATCTCATATGAACGCAGGGAGGGGGTGTCGAGTTCATAATGCTATGATCCCTAACAAGATGAAAGTTATCTACAAAAACAGAACTATGTTTCATAACAAAATGCAGAATTCTTAGAAAGAACTAAAAAAATTACCACATGGACTTAAGGCAGCGTTCAGACTTGTCGCGCTTCAATTGTCGCGCTGCAATTGTACCAGACCCCAGCTTCCCTTTATGTTCTTTCTTCCGGTATTCAATCCTTTTTCACTGTTTCTCATTTCTACCTGATTCTTAGCTCCTCTTTTTCACTTTAACATTGAATTTTAATGTAGTTTTTGATACAGGACCAAGATAATGATTTTGTATACCGTTAAAAAAAACTCGTCGTCAAAAACATCAAAAACTACATTAAAATTCAATGTCAAAGTGAAAAAGAGGAGCTAAGAATCAGGTAGAAATGAGAAACAGTGAAAAAGGGATTGAATACCGGAAGAAAGAACATAAAGGGAAGCTGGGGTCTGGTACAATTGCAGCGCGACAATTGAAGCGCGACAATTGCAGCGCGACGATTGAAGCCGACAAGTCTGAACGCTGCCAGAGAGTCGCTGTCCACCAAGATTCGACAACTCAGAAATTAAGGTCATATAATGTTCACAAAATTACCTCCAACTGGAACAATCCAACATCGACTACTTTGAAAAATTTTCGTTTGACAGGACTGCTACTTCGCTGATCGTCCAGAAGACCGCTGTTCTACGAAACGAACATTATCCTTTGATTTCTTCGCATTACTCATGTAGAGTCGGGCACCTTCGAATATGCTCACTACCTGCAGCAAGAACACTGTCAACTAAAAAGTAATTGTGAGAGAAATGCGCAGGATCTCACCTTCACAGCGTTCATATCCTGAATAATGGAGCTGCTTATATCACTTTCACGAAGAACTAACCTGTAACATTTGCAAGTAAGGTTCAGTGAACGTTGTAAGGCTCCTACACATTGTAAGGTCCATACCTCAGTCGAATGTCGCTTTCAGGGTTAGTCCACACATGATCGTAAGCCAGGACCACATTATCCAAATGGATATGTAAATCAGTCTGAATTACACCAATAAAAAGTGCCAAAAACGAGTAACATATCAAGCTACCCACCGTAACCACTGGTAACTCATAACCAGGTATAGGGTAGTCCTGTAAGGCAAACAATTCTGCCAACTGGAACATCCACGTTTCTTTGGAACTACGAAACGGCCGCAGTTGTACACAAGTGTTCCGAACAGCAATAGCAAGAAGAACGTCCTTGAAAAATACAGAGAATGTCGTAATATTTACAGGGAAATAATGCTTTATTCAAAAACAACTCGTAACCTTAATATTCTGCCCAAGTCGTTCGCACAGATAGATTGCAACGCCGACAGCATCGTCAGTGGTCTGCGAACTGAACTCATCTGTAGATGGGACAGAGTCCATCTGCGTATCATCGCGACTCCATTTTCCGAAATCAGCTTGATTGACCACTCTTGGCATCGAGCACGCATCTGCAAAGACGAGCAGGCAATGAAAAAGAAGGCAAAAAGGAGAACCTCATCTATAACTCAACCAACAATACTAGGTTACTATGGAGCTGCAATCGTCTACGGACGTTACGGATGCGGACGGCATTATCGGATGATAATAACAATTTGGCGTACAAGAAGAATTGCACCTTCATCTGGCGGAGCGTCATCGCATAAGACAGCATTCAGACTTCGCGATGACGCGCTGTAACGCGCTATAATGGCAACAGCGGCTCCAAGGCTATATAATCGAATGCAGCCGGGAGTCGAACGGCACTAGCCGCTACGGCTTTTGGAGAGTATGGAGGAATGGGAGAGTACCAGGTTGTTCAAAACAACATCTGCCCTCCTACGCCGTTGCAACTGCAGCGCGTCGACGCATGTCATCGCGAAGTCTGAACGCTTTCTGAGGTGTAATAGGAGCTCAACGAGAATATCGCGACTTTAAACGGTGCACGGTTTCCGTTCCATTTTTCTGATTCTTTTACGATGGTGGCAGTCCAAACGGGCAAAACTGCATTTCGTCGTTTTATTTCGTTTCGCCTGCACGCACTTCCCAGCGATAGAGTAGGCGTGGCTGCGTACTCTACTTGAATATGGCGCAGGATGCGTTGTTCGTGGGATGGAGATTTCAATTTGATACGACTGTTGTCCTATCTCGTACTGGACCAAGTCATGGTTGCAACTTTTCTGAATCTGCAATACCGCCCTGAAAGCGCAGCTGCCACCACTTTTAAATGGGGTACGCAGCCAAGCTCCGTGCCCACCTCTTCGATTCCGCGGTCCTTCCTGCCTTGACGTACGCCTCAGAGACTTGGACTCTACGAAAGCAGGATGAGCATGCGGTTGGCGTTATTCAACGCGCCATCGAAAGGGCGATTTCCGCTACACGCAAGTGAGAGAGGGAATCCGGAGCTCCGCACTCCGCCACGATCGAAGATCAGAGACGCCGCCGCATTTGCCAAGGTTCGAAGATCAGGTGGGCCGGACACGTCATGCGTTTCGAGGACGACCGCTGGACCAGAGCGGTCACGGGATGTCAAGCGAACGCCTGGACGACCGCCTATGCGATGGTCAGACTTCTTCGTGAAAGCTCTATGAAGTTCATCGTGTCCCTCGAGCTGAGAGAGTTCATTGGGCAACTCTTGCACGTTGCAGGGACGAATGGAGACGTTACTGGCGCCCGCTCGAGGAACTCGATGATCAACGGGAGCACAGGTGACAGGTGACAGGTGACGCAGCCACGGGAGTCTCCACCTCCGAGATATGGAGGCTGTCGATGATGTTGTGCCCTGAAACGTCATGCCATCAACTATTATGAGGAGACTGCGCATAGACGATTGCGGCCCCATACTACTTTTGCGCCAGGACAGTAAAATAAAGAAAACACAAGAGAAAAAGTGACTCACTCTTGTGCCCAACACCAACAGTATGTGTTGTGAAATAGAAATAGGTGTCACTTATGCGTCCATGATACCCTGTGACCGTAAACAGTTGCGCATCCGACAGCTCAATCGACACTTGACCCATATCACTTTGATCGCCACTCTATAAAAAAAGTATGATTTCCCAAAGAACCTTCGGCTAACTCGGGCACTAACATAGTTGGGAGAGGGGCCTCCTTCACCGAAAAGGCTTCGGGTTAGAGCGCCAACGACCAGAGTCGTCCAGTGACAGCCTCGCAGAGCAGACATAATCTTCACTTAGCCTAAGCATCAATTTGTGGATTCGGGGCACTGGCGAACGTCCCCCCCCCCTTCAACTATGTTAGCGCCCAAAATTGCTCGTCAGTACAAAACAATACCACAAGCTCCGTATCTAATTCTTTGGCTAGCCAATACTTCAACAAAAAACGTTGGGCAAAATGAAGAGTACTGTGTGAAAAATAAAACTCCAAAATCAATCATTCAAAAAGTTTCTATATCAGAAGAACCAATGAAGAATACCTTGAGAGCGCTACAGTACTATTTGGTCACAATCGTCTTTACGGACCCTCTCGTCGGACGACGTCAATGACATTTCATGAAGGACGAGAAATTTGCGTCAGAGATGACCGAGCGAGTAAGTCGCACGACTCAGGCCGACCACGCTTCATCGGTAATCCTTGGGCCGTTGTAATGGTTGAAAGGAGCTCTACTCTGAATAAGGTTGAATTTGCAGTTGAAGCGGCCCAACGATTAGCGATGGAGCGCGATCCATTGTGGTCTCACTGTTCTCTATTCGCGCAAGTGAATCGCTCACGTCGCGAAATACGAACGCTGCCTTACACCAGATCTTCCACTTCTTTCATAAGGACGGCTTTCGCCTGGGCTTAACAATATACTCTTACAAAACGTTGTGACCATATTCATGCGATGATGTGTAACGAAAGTGTAGATAATTGCGGCCCCTAGTACTGTAGTGCCATTTTTAGAACAAAACTCAACAAATTTTCATAAAAACCTCATCAGCGCCTGTACACATCAGCATCGTTCCTTTCTTCACATTCAACAACAGGCTGAGTGAATGAGATTTGTTTTTATCGTAGCCGTTCGCCTGCGACGATGTGAAGCGCTCTTCCTCACACTCATCTTCATCTTAATTGAATTGTAAAACAGGATAAATCAAAATTTCGCTGACTACAAGTATTGACACTTACAACGATCCACAGGGTCCCCACCACATTCGTGGAACATGTCGTCACTAAGTGCATTGATTTTGAATTCATCATCACCTGGTCTAACACTGGGTGCAGCTGGTTGCCAAAGAAGCAGATCATTCACCTAAAAACTTACGAAGACCAGCTTTATCATCCATAAAAAACTTCTCAGCTACAGCATCTAGGCAGGGTTCGGACTTCGCATTGATGCGCGTCGGCGCGCTGTCAATGAGAGGCGCCCAACAGTATAGGGGCGAAGCAGCTGCAGACAGGAATCGATCGGCACAGGCCGCTTGCGTTTTGAGAAAGTACAGGATAACAATAGGGAATGCGCTCCCTTCACACAAACTGGAACTCTCCTATTCATCAGTTCTATCTCGAAGTACCGAGTACGATTGATACCAGACTGCATGAGTGGGAACGCGTACACCATCATACCCCGATACTCTTTCAGAACACGAGCGGAAGGCGCCGACTGTTTTCCGTCTGCGACCGATTTTGCTTCCGCTGCACTAGAGCGCTCGTGCAACTGCAGCGCGTCGACGCGCTTTACAGCAGGCCATGGCGAAGTCTGAACGCTGCCTTTAAGAAATTTGCTCATAAGAACCCGACAGGTGAAATAATAAACTGGAAAAAAAGTGGATGCAAGATTTTCGTAGAAAAAAAAACCAAATTGTGGGGATCCTGTTCAATCGGAAACACTCACCAGCCTATTGTAAAGCACCTCAAGGTATGCATGGCTTGGAATAAGCAGCCCGAAGAATCGGTATATCCAGCGAAATTACCAGCACCGATTGCAGGATGCATTTGGCACCAAATGCAGTCATCTCTTCACGGGAACCGGCTAGGATTAACTAGAAAAGCTTATATGAAGCGCAGGCACAAACTCATCCCATTCCAGTAACCTACATCATTTCCTTCTTCATGATTATGGAGGTATGATCGATGAGTTTGGGCGAATGGACCTTCCCTTTGAGGGTAATGACTGCATAACAGAAAGTGAAATACTTTTCGTCATATCGTCACCGATGCCACTGACGTAGTGAATTTTTGTGCTGGAAGCCTTGAGAGCCTTGTTGCGAGGATCATATTCGAATTTCACGCTGAAAAGAAAGTATGTCAACGCGTCCAAAGTCAAATTTCAGGAACATAAATGAAACACAGAAGTAAAGCTTAGTAGGGGATCGTTGTATAGGATAACAAGTAAAATGGTAGAGTCCAGCTTAATGGCACCCCCGAGTTCATGTGATGTCCAGACGCCTTCTTTGGACTTGGCAGTCCTGCCCGCAAGCACGGAGGATATACTACTTTCGCAGCTCAAAAATAGGTGAGAAAAGAAAAGACCCGCTCGCGACGAGACCACGGCCCCGCACTTTGGCTACGGCAACGCCCATCCTTCATTTCTAAAGGTATTTTGGTGGAGCGCTTGTTCTGCTACTAATCATCTCCATTTCAAATGGTGAGAGAGGGATGACAAGGAGCAAGAGCTAGCACCAACAAGTGAGAATTCGTCCAATCACACCCTTTCGTCGTCCTAATGCAGCGTTCAGACTTCGCGACGGCAGCGCTTCGGTCGCGCGTTCGACGCGATCGATGCGCATGCTTTCGACTGCATCGATCGCGTCGAACGCGCGACCGAAGCGCTGCCGTCGCGAAGTCTGAACGCTGCCTTATGCACGTACTAGCACAATTCAGCATGGGGCACTCCGAGCAGGTTTTTTTCTGCTTTTTTTTCTTCCTTTCGTGTTATTTACCATCTTGCCATTCGTATTTGAGCCGCACAAACGCATAAATCGCCGCTTTTGAACCCGGAGTCTGCTTTCAAATAGTGGAGAGTGGGCCGGACAAAAAGTGTGCCTCTAAAACTTACTGAACAGGTTCATCCACTGATGTCTGTCCTCCCCAAAGGAAACGGCGATCCTCATCCGAACACGAGAACTTCTCCGACACGCCACAGAAACTGCCTATAACACGATACTCTTGACAAAAAATCTTTAAGTATGATGTAGTACAAAAACAACATAAGTAAACATTACAAAATTACCGTATATCTCCGTAGCGAATAGCTCCATCAACGTGCTTTCACCACCGATAGGCATTTCAACGGTCACCGAACTAATATGTAAACCAATGTATTCGGGATGAACATGACGCTGACGATACGGCAATCGAGATCCACTTGGGTTGCGCAAGTCAGCTATCGGTATTCTAAAGACCGTAAGAATACCAGATTACAAGTTTAAATCAAAAATAGTGACCATAAGGTCGAACGAGAATTACTTTACCTCAAATTCAAATCTATAGCTTGGCACTTCAAAACTACCATTAATTTGCTAGGCTGTTCAACAACAAGTGGTATACCGAACAGGTCGTCACGCAATTGAAGTGCATCTTTCCTTCAAAAAATTGGACGTTATAGAGGCGACAGAAAGTCTGTGTAACCACGGAAAATACTTCTTAAGTCGAAATTACAATGTTACTACGGCGCTAGATGCTTTGGAAGTGACCGTTTCCCAGAGGATACAGTAAAAAGATGACGTGTTCTGATGAATGTGAACACGTCACGCCGTCTTGGTGAGAGGATGCAGACGAGCCAACGTGACGTGTCTAAGCACCAATGGGCAGCGGCCTCTCGCGAGGCACATAGCGCCCTGCGAGTTATTAAAAATAGTAGTCTTGAAGAGCAGCACTCACCTTACAATACTATCCAACCTTGAGCGCTTATACGATGGCAAATCATAAAATGGCCGTGGCTCAAAAAGATCCGCAATCCTATCCACTATACTCAAATCCAACTCACATCGGCACTTCCCCAGGTAGACGTAGGCCTTGGACTGTAACAGAAGTTATTAAAAAAAACGAATAAAAAAAACCTGCTATGGGTGTGCAGCATTACTCCCGGCAATGTAGGCGTTGCAAGCAGGATAACCTACACAACATTCCCACCAGGACCCGGCTCCGTGTACAAACTCACCCGTGCGCGTATGCGGCGCGGTTTCTTCACGGCGCCGCGGCGGCAGGGCGGAGCGAAAGGCGATGGCCCGCGTCTCCGGCGCTGTGCTCCAATCCAGCAGCCTCTTTTATGTGGAAGGAAGAGGAGGGAAAAGTAGAGAGAGGAAGGGAATTGAACAGATAGTGGGTGCATATGTGAGTTAGTGGTAGTGAGGAGATCACAGAAAAGTCGACTATCACGAATTACTTCAGTGAATGGCAGAACTGGCGGCATAGTTCCCTTCGATTGTGAAAACGACGCAAGCAGCTTTTACACGAAAGTTCAAGCTGAGGTTTGGCAAATTGCCAACAGTTGGTTGTGACCTCATAACGCTATAACGTCACGTCCCATTCGAAGGGAATCATTCTGCCAGTTCCGCTGTTGACTGAAATAATACGCTCTGATTCTCGACTTTTCTGTATTCTCTGCTCACCATTACCACTAACTCACCTATGAGCGTTCACTATTTGTTCAATCCTCTTTTCTCTCCTCCTCCTTCCACATAATGGGGCATAAAAGGGGCTTCTGATTGAAGCACAGTGGCGGAGGCGCAAGCGATCACCCTTCGCCCGCCCTGCCGCCGCGGCGCCGTGAAGAAACCGCGCCGCATACGCGCATGGGTGAGTTTTTCCCTCCTCCCCCAGGACCCAATCCGTTTAATGCTGCGGCGCATCGACTGTCCTTGGTTCTCTCTGCTTCTGCTTCTCTCAATTAGACCAGCTCTCTCTCTCTCTCTCTCTCTCTCTCTCTCTCTCGTTCTGTGTACCTGCGCCTGTCTAGCCAACTAACTACGAAATAAGTCTGCTAGTCCGCGATGCTGCGACTAGGAAGTAATGCTGCACACTTCCTCACCAATAATTAAGGCACTTACGTCTTCGCCACCAACAGGAGAAGAAAATACCAGTTTCAACTGTGGCTCTTGGTCAGGATTCTCGTAATTTGAGAAATCTACAAGTGGGATATGCGGATTTTGTGGTTCACGCTGAAATCAGGTAGACTAGGAGGAAGTTTAAATGGCTTTTTGCCATGTCAGATTCAAAAAAACGGACTGGGTTAGATTCCGGCGTCAGATATTCAATAACATCCAAATTCGGAAATATTAATTTCGCTTTCATTTGCTCGCTCGTACTGCTTTTGTCCATCTGATAATTGAAGACAACAGAGGTTCCGACAATTCTGCAAGATCAATGATCTATAGTTAATTATCTTACAAAACATATACGGTAATATGAATGTACCTCAGATGATCTTTGCTGTACAACTTGTCAAGCATACTTCTTGCATTGTGTAGATTCATAGGCTTCAGGGAAACCTTTGCAGCTTTTGCGAAAAACCTGGAAAGACAACAACTTAAGCTGCGTTCATACTTTGCATCAGCGTTTCGAGCATACGCCTGCGTTTTGAGCGATTAGGAAAGTATAGATATCGATCTAGCGCCTTGAGAGCCGGTGTTTTCAGCAACTGCTTGGGAAAAGCTCGAATTACCCGCGAAATGCTCAAACGGCCGCCGTACCCTCAAAACGCTGAACAAAGTATGAACGCACTCTAAAACCATCAAACTTCTACTCAACGTCATTTATTTCACTAACTCTTCAGATTCCTCCACAAGTTGATCTATCGCTTCGTGACAACCATTGCTGAGAGTTTTCACGTATTCCACAGACATTATGTCATTGTGAGGGATGAAAACGAGAATCGTTCCAATCTTCGCCGACAACAATGTGCACTCCTTTTTCGATGAGTCCGTTTCTAGAAAAAAAAAGAAATATGAAGAAACGCCCGGAATTGGGTAATAACAAACAACTAACTTATAGAGTTGTAGTTATGACATGCTTCACTTAGTTTCCTCAGAGAACGGTTGTCTTCCAAATTTACAGAATCAAACTCGTGGAAATCATCTCGCCTACTCCACGTGCCTGGAAACACACTAATTTCTGAAGAAAAAACTCCTGTGAAGAAGTTACAAATGGAATACATGGGCAGTTGCTTTCTTTTCTCTCGCCAAACGACGAATCTGTATATTACATAGTCGTCTTCCACCAATTGCTGTCGCTTACACGCTTCAACAACTGGTGGAGATCGTGCTGGCGGCGCGCCAAATTCTGCTCTGTTGACACGCCCCGTCACCCGCTGTGAACAAGACTGTATATCCCAGAAAGTACGGCAAACTCCAACCGACCTTGCATTCCCAACGTAGTTAACCGGGTTTTGTGGAGCGCTTCCTCTTCAATGTTCTTCGCCATAGCATCATAATCGGAAACTGAAACATTTCAAAATTATACAAATCCCTCATACAAAATAAAGGTGGATGTTTTGAAGTGAAAATTACTGAGCAGAAAAACTGCTCACCGTTTGAGAATAGCAATTTGTGAAGGCAAGATGAAACAATTTACACCCGTAAAAAACGACTCGATTTCGACCTGAAAACATGGTCTATAACTTGGCAAAAAAGGAATAAAGAAAATCAACAACTTACCCTGTTATCTTTTTTGTCAGCTACCGCATCAGAATTTTTTATACGAAATATCAATCGTTTCAGTAAATGCAGGCGAATCGTTAAATCTGTCAATGGGAGAGCCTTTCAGGATTACAAGAGTAGATTCTCCAGTGAACTCAGCAAACTTTACAGGAGTAGATATTAATCTATAAAGTGGTATCATATGGTTTATGAGACTGCGAGGGAATAACGAGTAAACTTACTCTCGGTCAGAATCTACTCTTGTAATCCTGAAAGGCTCTCCTATTGATAGATTTAACGATTCGCCTGCATTTACTGAAAGTGGCAAGCTATGAAGTTGACCATATTAAAGGGGATCAATTGAACTTACAGTTAGAGTAACATGAATGGAAATTGGAAGTGGACGATGAGAGAGCCGATGTGAAAAGTTCAGGAGATATCGACTCTTGATTAGTTAGCGATGGAGATTTCTGAAAAGAATCGCATTCGGTGTACAGGGATTAGCCATTTCTTTCCTTATTATTTTCATTTTTCCTAGACTGCGTTCAGACTTCGCCATTGCGCGACCGGACGTACGATTAGGGGCGCTCCACCGTTAAAGTGTGCACCGCAGTAACGGCACAACTCAAACTGGCAGTGTATGAACGTGGCCCATTTCGAATTATGCCGCTGCTGCGGCGCACCGCTTGGCGGTGGAGCGTAATCGCGCGATCCAATCGAGGAATCGCGAATACTCAGCGGGGCCTTTTGTGGACCTTCTGCAGCTAGACCCCAAACATTACTAAGTAAACTCCCATACATGAGAGTATTTATTGTCTTTTTTTCATTGCAGATGAAGAGGCAGATCGGTAAGACAGAGCTTGGCGCGTTCCCAGCTCGTTTCCGCCACTTGTTGAAGAAGGTAAGCGACAGTAGTTGTTGGGAAACCACTGGTACGAAAGATATAACACAGTGTTGTCGCTTGCTAACTTCAAAAACAGGAGGGGGAAACAGCTTTGGCACCGCGCCAAACCCAGCCCATTTGACACGCCTGTTCACCTGCAGCGAACAAGACTTCCCCTTGTATGTTTCTCCGAAGTCGCAAATGTGAATGAATAGACCTAGACCTTCCCAGCTCAACCATTAGACCACAACATAAAAAAGAAATTTGAACGCACATGCTTTTGCTTTTCTCGTCTTATGTACATACTCGTAACGATCTGACTAGAATTATTATCAGAATATTGATCCTCTAATTCTGTGAAAACGTCGGTAAATATTTCCACCCCTGAAAAATAACAAAATATTCCAATATAGAATGAAGAGAAACATGATTTGAATCACCAGCACCTGACATATCCATAAATTTGTTGAGGTTTGCAATGCTTCCCATCCCTTGTGGCTGACTCGTGATCGTCTCAGCGCTTCTACCTTCTTGCTGGCAATTTCGCATTTGTTCGTCCATGAAGCGCACTCTTAAATAGTATACGGTAGCGTATCCAGCAACGGTTTCGTATGCTGATCGTAGGAAAATATGCGACGTTAAAAAAAGTGAAAGGCTTGGCCAACTTTGGCGGAAGCCAGTCAGGCATTTATCCCGGACTGCGTGATTGGTAAGCGAGCCAATTGCCACCTTGAAAAAAAACGGAGGTGTAAAATAATCGGAAACAGTACAAATGAAGGGAAACCACTGCGTTTCTAAAAAAATCAAACAGATGCGAAATAGGGATAAGAAAACAAAGAGATGGCGCAGCTTTCCATTCGCATATGCCCCCAGACGGACCTCCTGGCTATTTCAGTGAGGGGAAATACAAAACTTGAGTTTTTGCCCCGCTCCTGTAAGGTATGCCTCCTTGATATGACACACCAACCCACTTCCCATCTTTGCCCAATTTGCCCGCCTGGCTGTTCTGGGCCGAATAGAAACTTTGCTTTTAGCCCCGCCCACTTAGGGTTGCCTTCCTAGTCTCATGCGCCCAGTTCACATCTTTGCTCACCATTCCGATCCCGCTAGCCGTTCTGGGGCTGAAACATGAAATTTTGTCCTAACCCCACCCACTCAAACGCATGCTCCGCCCCCAGCTGTTCTTAGGGTGCGCCTTCCTAATCTCAGAAGGCCAACCTATTTTACACCTTCGCTCACATTTCTGGCTCCGAGCAAAAGTGAAACAAGAACACTGAAATACTTATAAAACTTACTCTTTAATTCGGATCTCGATAGCAGTGCACATGTCTGACAGGTGCTTCGGCGGATTTTCTAGTCGTATGGTTGTATCGACTAGTTCCAGACAGAAACGTGAAACAATCGCATCAATAACCTGTATGACTAGGTTGTGAACCTTATTACAAATAAAAAATACCCAAAAATAGCCTAGATCAAAAAGGTAACCTTAGTGAATGCTTTTACTCCGTCCTTTGCTTCGGTGTCAAATTCCTCTTCACAGGCTTCTTTTTCATTTTCATAAAAACTTCGAGCCAATTCACTGGAGGACACAAGGGACTCAACAACACTGCCGATCATTGAAGAAACTGTAATAACGAAGAAATCGTGTTACTAGTAAGCGAACAACTCGGAAGTAATGCTCACCGAGATCTTTGTTGTCAAGTTTCACGCCATCTCGTGCTTCAAACGTCAAATCCAACTGTCTGACTTTCATTGTACTTGCATCAGATGTTAGAGCACACCATGGGACCTCTGCAATCATTCGAATCTTCATTAATATCAGGCATACAAAGGGAGTAGCGGTAAAGAAAGGCTATGAACTATACCAGAACAGATTAAAAACAACAAGGAAAATTGAAGCGGCAATAATACGATAAAAAAAACAAGGAAAAATTGAAGCGACAATAATATGAAGGGAATGGTAGCCAAGACCGCAAAAACTCACTTATCGTCATGCCTCCAACAAAACCATCTGTGAGCCTTAAAGGCACGTTCATGGACGTCAGGAGTTCATTGACATACTGAAAGAATACAAGTGAATTTGATAATATGATATGATAATTAAGGCTGCGTTCATACTCGGGGTCATCGTACGACAGCGTACTGCAGCGTTTCGAGGGTGCGCCAGCGCCAGCGACTAGGAAAGCATAGATAGTGATCTGGCGCACGCCAGCGCGTGCCGGCGTTTTCGCGCAAGAAAGCTGCTGGACCGGGCATACGGCTGGTGGACGCTCGAAACGCTAGATCGATCCATGTTTTCCTAGTAGCTCGAAACGCTGCTGCACGGTGGCGTACGCTAGATCGATGCTATACTTCCTTGTCACTGGTGCTGGCGTACGCTGACGCAAAGTATGAACGCATTCTAAGATAGAGAACAGGTAAAAAATAGAACGTAATAGACGAATCTTCGTCACTGTCCAGTCCTTTTTAGGCGCACACATTCTAATTCCGTTCAGAACAGTACCGGCTTGTTGAATGGATGTGGCCATACAATGATTTGCAGGGCGAACCGATGCACAAGTCAGTATTCTCATCCTCCCAAATCGATCTCGACCCCATTTACCGTCCCCGGAAAGGGAGCTGATTCGGGATTTTACCTTCGGACCGCGCGCGTGGCAAGCGAGCCGTTTGCCACTGCGTCAGGGAGATGGAAGATCTCGCACAGGGAAAGGAATCTACGAGTGAAATAGCCCTTCTTGGCTAAGAGAAGAGTTGTCGCACTTCGTCAGAAGGTGTTTACGGAGCTTGGGCTTCTACAAAATGTCCCTTCAGAAAATGCTACGGTACGTTAACATTAGTTAGAAAGGCCCTCATATACTACAGTACAGCCCAATGCATAGTGATAGTGAGAGGTTTTAACCCGTTGCGGCCCGTCGTTTTGCGAGGATCTCTGCATCATTTCTCCCTCTTTCATCGATACTTACTAGTTTCATATTTTTTTCACTTCGCGTGAGATATGTGTATTCCGTGCACAAAAACGTGTTCTGATAAATTTAGAAGATGAAACAAGCGCGAAGTAGATCATGGGGAACAGCGCAGAGAGGGAAA